TCGAGGACAGCCCAAGGCTTTGGGAACCTGCACCCGCGTGGGAGACCCGGAAGAGGCTCCTGGCTTCGGATCGGCATAGCATCGGCCCGTTGCGCTCACTTGGGGAGTGGGTCATGGGACGGAAGATCTTCCTCTCTGTCTCTCCTCTCTGTATATCCGCCTTTCCAATGAAAAAAATAATAAAAATAAATCTTTAAAAAAAAAAAAATTTATAAAAAAAAAAATGTATTGATTTTTATTGGAAAGGCAGATTTACACAGAGAAGACAGAGAAAGATCTACCATCATTTGAGTCACTCCCCAAGTGAGTGAACTGAGCCGGAACGGAGCTGATCCGAAGCCAGGAACCAGGAGCTTCTGAATCTCCCAGGCAGGTGCAGAGTTCCAAGGCCTTCGGCTGTCCTCTACTGCTTTCCCAGGCCATAACCAGATAGCTTATGGAGAGGCTGGGACATGAACCAGCGTCCGTATGGGATCCTGGCTTGTGCAAGGCAAGACTCTAGCTACTCAGCCATCGTGCCAGGCCCAGGATAAATCATCTTGGACAATGATACTACAGGGAATACATGTATTCCCTCTACGTGTTCTTCTAATCTCATTGACAGTCTTTTCAAAATGTTCATGAAAAATACATACCATAAGAAACTAAACGTAGAAAGGATAAACCACAAAGAGATCTCGAACCAAGAAAGTTGAGAACAACCTTTTTGCATCAAAATACTCTTAACTTTTACTTTCATCTTTCTACAAATGTTTTGAAGATCCACCAAAAGTGAGCGCTAATGCAAACACATGCTGCTCAGTGATAACAATGCTTCACAGCAAATCCCTCCATTGTAACACATGCACTATTACGATTCTGATTGTGAGGAAGCCTGCTCATTTGTTACAACAGGTGTGTGTGCATATGTAGGAACTCCGATTCTGCTTAACTTTGGCAGGAATCTAAGCCCATTTTAAAGACTAAAGTTCATTAAGTAAAAATGATACAAGTGGGCCCAGCACGATGGCCTAGTGGCTAAATCCTTGCCTTACATGCACCAGAATCCTGCGTGGGTGCTGGTTTGTGTCCCGGCTGCTCCACTTCCCATCCACCTCCCTACTTGTGGCCTGGGAAAGCTGTGGGGGATGGCCCAAAGCCTTGGGGCATTGCACCGATATAGGAGACCTGAGCCGGAGGAGGCTCTTGGCTTTGGATCAGCTCAGCTCTGGCCGTTGCAGCACTTGGGGAGTGGACCATCAGACACAGGATCTTTCTGTCTTTCCTTCTCTCTGTGGATTTGTCTTTCCAATAAAAAGCAATAAATCTTAGGGAAAAAAAAGAGACAACTGACACACAAAATTCAAAAAAGCTTACATGTCCAATGAAAATAAAAGCATATTTAACTTTGTGAATAAGATACTTTTTATTTTCTCATTCAGGGAGGCAAGCTATTCAAAGTGTTAGGGAGGGTTTGAAGTGGTGAGTCTCAATATACCGCCAGGTGGAATGTAAACTGATAAAACCACTTGGGGAACAATTCGACAGTAACCTGAAATGAATTATGTGTATACTTAAAGCATAGTAATTCTTTCAACCTCCAGGTAAATACTGAAGAGAAATTCTTGTGCACAATGCCCTGAATTGTTTAACAACCACAAAGCAATGGCAATAACATATTATTTATGGATATTTCAGAGTCAAATGTGTCTATGTTTTTTAAACTACTGGAGGCAAACACATTAAACCTATGGCGGGAGATGTTCTGTGAAGGAAAGCTGCGCAGGTAAGACTCACGAAGCCACTCCAGCTTCAAAAAGTTTAGCAAAATGGTGGTATGGCAGATATGAAGGCCGCCTGCAATACTGGTGTCCCAAATGGGCTCCTTCCCGCTTCACTGCTCCACTTCCAACCCAGCTCCTTGCTAATGGCCTAGGAAAAGCAGTGGAGAATGGCTGCTGTCAGCGGTGCAGGAGTCCTAGACACAGCTTCCCCCACTGGCCTGGTGCAGCCATCTGAGAACTCTGCTGGTAGATGCAAGATCCTGTCTTGCTCTCTCTCTGTAACTCTCTAAAACAAACAAGGCTTTAAAAAAAGCTTGGCAGAAATATACCCACAGCTATTCTAGACAACAGCAATTAAGTAGCGTATGATTTTGTAGTTCTATACTTCTCTATTTTGATTTTTTGTTAAAGACCTCATCAAGAGCAGCAGATCAAAACGGTAGCCTGAATCTACAAGTATCTTCTAATGCCCCAAATCTTCTGAAATGATAGGAAATGATACTTAAATGCAAGACAAGCATTGATAACAAGATACAAGAATGACATAAATGACTCTGAAAGGCAGAGAGACGTCATAGTGGACTGGTCAGAGTGAAGCACAGCTACAACCACACACAACAAGAGGAAAAGAATCCAGACCCCTGCAGCTCTATGGCTACAGACCTGAGCAGCAGGAGGGCTCCTGAATTAGGAGGCAGCATCCCCTGCCTTCCCCCATGAGTACCTGAAGCACAGCCCAGGAAGATCATTTGCCAGTGGGCTCCAACCAGGAGCCTAGGTGCTAATGGCAGCAAGAAGACCCAAGGCTCATAGCTATCCTAACTAAAAAAACTTGGACACTTTCAACATTGTGAGGGGTGAGGACGCTTGTCGGAACAGCTACTCCAAATACACAGACAGGGCTGGTGCAGCGGCTAAGTGTGCAATACCAGTATCCCGCATAATCACCAGTCTGTGGATCGTGTTCCAGTTACCCAACTTCCAATCCAGCTCCCTGCTAATGCATCTAGGAAAGCAATGAGAGATGACCGAAGGTCTAAGTCCTTGGGGCCCTGCCACCCAGGTGGGAGGTCGGATGGAGTGCCAGCCTCCAGGCTTCAGCCTGGCACACTGCAGCCACTGGGAATGAACCCAGGACGGGAGGCTCTCTCTCCTCTCCCCTCCTTCCCTCCTCTTTCCACTGTCTCTCTTTCAAATACATACATAAATCACTTTTTAAAGAAGGCTTCCACTAACAGGGAAAATCAGTATTAATTAATGCACATCTATACTCTAAAACACTGTTGTTAGAAGTTCACAAGAGGAGAAAGCATCATGACACATCAAGTTAGGCCAATGGAATCCCACATGGTGCTGATTTAAGTCTGGGCTACTACACTTCAGATCTAGCTCCATTTCAGCACATTTAAGAAAGCAGTGGAGGATGGCGCAAATCCTCAGGCCTCTGCCACGCAATGAAAGACCCAGGAGAAACTGCTGGCGCCAGGCTTTGGCCCAGCCCAGCCCCTGGGGAGTCAATCAAAGTCGGAAGATCTCTCCTTATCCTGCTCTACCACCTCAAATTCTGCCTTTCAAACTAAAAACAGAAAAGTTTCCAAGAATACATGTGTGTAGCACTGTGGGGCAGGGGATTAAGCTGCCCTTTATATCAACAGCATCTCATACTGCTCCAGTTCCAGCTGAGCCACTTCCAATCCAGCAGCCTGCTAATGTGCCTGGGGAGGAACAGAAGTTGGTCCAAATACTTAGACCCTCCGACCCACGCGGGAGACACGAATGGAGTTTGGGGTTCATAACTTCAGTTTGGTCCAGTCCTGGCCTTTGTAGCCAGTTAGGGGAGAGAACCAGCAAACTGAACAGCTCTTCCCCTCTTATTAAATGCATAAAAAAAATTGTTTTAAAGAAAAGTGTGTATGTGTGTAAAGCACATGGAAAAATTTCTAAGGTCTCATTGTGTAAAGAAACATATGAATGAAATGATCCTATTTATTTAAAAACCTCATATATATATGCATGTGTGTATATACAGATATATATGAATACACTAATGGTTTGACTTAATGCCTAGAAAAACATCAAATTGTCAACAGTGCCGACCTATGGAGGGAGAATTTACAACGTACACTGCCTGATGCTCTTACAACACAACACAGTCATGAATGTGTAATATAAAAAACATACTATGGGGCGGTATAATAGAGGTGGTAGCCTAGTGGCTGAATCCTCGCCTTGCATGCACCAGGATCCCATAGGCACCAGTTCATGTCCCTGCTGCTCCACTTTCCATCCAGCTCTCTACTCATGGCCAGCGAAAGAAATCAGCAGAGGACGGTCCAAAGCCTAGGGACCCTACACCTGTATGGGAGACCCGCAAGAAACTCCTGGCTTCTGACTTTGGATCAGCTCCGCTCCAGCTGTTGCAGCCATTTGGGGAGTGAACAAGCAGATGCAAGATCTTTGTCTCTGTCTTTCCTTCTCTTTGCATATCTGACTTTCCAATAAAAATAAACCAAATTTTTAAAAAATCCCAAAATAAAACCATAGCATAAGAAACTAATTTCATCTGCTTAGGAAAGTCATTAAGAGTATCTTCAAGAAAGATTTTTTTTTTTAAATGAGGAATATGAAAGCCCAGTACTGTTTGTAATGACAACGGTTCAGGTTTTCTCTGATGGCTGACTACTTCCTGTCACATGCCATAACTGGGTCAGCCAAAAGCAATCCGCATCTCATTTCAGAAAGCATAAGCAGAATTACTGTCAGAGTGCTCAGACTGGAGGCTGGGTAGGGAGACAACACCCCCGGTCATTTCCTTCGGAGCTCTGTCAGGGCTTCAATGAAGGGAAGTGACACAATCTGCCCAAATCACTATAATCAAACAGCAACTTGCATGGAGGAAGTCCTGCAAATGCCATGACCCTCTGAAATTCCTCACAATGCTCGCTGCTCCACCCCCACAAAATGAAGTCATCAGAATGAAGGATTACATAACACAAGCAAAATAAACAAACTATATAACTAAAAACAATCACCACTAGATTACTGTTCTATCTTAACCAAATAATCTTCTTATAAAAATTTAAGATAAAAAGTGTAATAAAGTACAAAATTCATAATGACACATATACTTACATAGCTTACTCTAATCTCCAAGCCTTGGGAAAAGCTAAATGCTAGGCACCAGTTATATCTGCATGAATAATTCATACTTTAATCAAGAAATTATTGAATACTTACTAAAAGTCTTACAGATGTCAGAAACAGCTTTGAAGACCCGATCAGAGAAATTCACCTTCACCTTCACACACTTCATGTTGGGCAGCTGCAGGCGCAGCAGCTTGTGCTGGGGGGTGAACTGAAGCTTGGCGTCTGCCTGAATTCCATACTTATCCAGGGTCCAATGTGTCTTAAGCAGCCAAGTTCTCTTCTTTTCCCACCAGAGAGCATGGTCAGACCAATCCTTTTTTACATCTGAAATCCAATAAACAAGAAGAATCATTAGAAATTACCAAAACCACCTTGGCAGAATATAAAAGCAGAATTAGCATTTAATGATTGTTGATTATAGCTAACTAAACATTATGTGTCTATTCGTGTCAGGGACAAAAGAAACACTAAAAGCCGAGAAAGCACATAATCCTTCAGTACAAACTGGGACAGACAGATAACAGAGCGCCGCGGTACCAGCAGACAGAGGGATGCTGGCAGCTACACTCAGCAGGATCAACAGAAGCTGCAGCCGGTAGGAGCTGGGCCCAGCCTTGAAAAAGGAACAATGCTCTGGGTAAAGCAGGTGGAAAGGCTTGTCATCTGCGAATCTGTGTTTTAAGGTCTGTAAGGGGGAAGGCCACACACAGGAAACCGAAATGAACAAAAAAGACTATCCTAGTTGAAGAGGAGGAGCCTTCCATAACCTGAAGAAAGCTCTAAAACCAAACAAAATCCCCTACATGCCAAGCACACGTGCTTTCCAAAACATATTCCAAGAGTAACTAAAGACACCGCTGGAGTGGCACTACAGCACAGCCAGTAAAGCCATCCCACTTGCTGCCAACATTCCCTACGGGTGCCAGATTGTGTCCTGGCTGCTCCAGTCTAATCTGGCTCCCTGTTCTTAGTTTCAGCCTGGCCCAGCCATGACCACTGTGGTCAACTGAAGAGTAAATTGGTGGATGGAATCTCCCTTTGTGTGTCTCTCCCTCTCTCTAACAATAACTTCCGATATTCCGGGCCCAGTGCAGTGGCCTAGTGGCTAAAATCCTTGCTTTGAATGCACTGGATCCCATATGGGCGTCAATTCTATTCCTGGCAGCTCCACTTCCCATCCAGCTCCCTGCTTGTAGCCTGGGAAAGCAGTCGAGGACAGCCCAGAGTCTTGGGACCCTACACCGGCATGGGAGACCAGAACAGCCCCCGGGTTCTGATCAGCGCAGCACTGGCCACTGCAGTCACTTGGGCAGTGAATCATCGGACGGAAGATTTTCCTCTCTGTCTCTCCTCCTCTCTGTATATCTGACTTTCCAATAAAAATAATTTTTTTTAAAATCACACATTCCGACCTCCCCTTCTTCGACATACTTTGGTACAAGTAGATGGGCCTGGCTTGATAACCTAGTGACTAAATCCTCGCCTTGAATGTGCCAGGATCTCTAATGGGCACCAGTTCGTGTCTGCCTGTTCAATTTCCCACCCAGCTCCCTCCATGCTTGTGGCTGGGAAAGCAGTAAAGGACGACCCTAAGTCATGGTAGACCTGGAAGAAGTTTCTGGGGTTTTTTGTTTGTTTGTTTGTTTGTTTTTAAGAAAGTTGGCCGGTTAGATTTATTCCTTAAAAAGAAAGTTTTTGTGTTTTTTTTTTTTAATTGGAAAGTCAGATTTACAGAGAGAATGAAAGAGAGAAAGAGCCTCCAATCGCTGATTCACTCCCTGAGTGGTTGCAATGGCCAGAGCGAGCCAATCCGAAGCCAGGAGCCAGAAACTTCTTCCAGGTCTCCCACACAGATGCAGGGTCCCAAGGCTCTGGCCATCTCTACTGCTTTCACTGGCCACAGGCAAAGAGCTGAATGGAAGTGGAGCAGCAGGGATACGAACCAGCGCCCATATGGGATCCTGGCGCATGCAAGGTAAGGAATTTGGCCACTAAGTTCTGGGCACCGAAATAAACCTTTGGGCCCAGCATCGTGGCCTAGCGGCTAAAGTCCTTGCCTTGAACACGCTGGGATCCCATATGGGTGCCAAGTTTTAATCCCAGCAGCTCCACTTCCCATCCAGCTCCCTGCTTGTGGCCTGAGAAAGCAGTCGAGGACGGTCCAAAGCCATGCGACTCTGAACCCACGTGGGAGACCCAAAAGAAATTCCTGGTTCCTGGCTTCGCATCGGCGCAGCACCAGCTATTGTGCTTACTTGGGAAGTGAGTCATCAGATGGAAGATCTTCCTCTCTGTCTATCTGGCTTTGTAATAAAAATGAATAAATCTTAAAAAAAAAAAAAAAAGGAAAGAAAGAGATCTTTTTAAAAAAAAATGTGTGGGAGACTGGGTGGGGCTACTCCCCTTATCTCCCCCTTTACCCCAGATACAGGGGGGAAATGTGGAAATAATAGTCTTACCCACTTTCCTGTAGCCCTTGAAGCTTTGTGCCCTAACTATGTAAAGATAGTCAAAAATAAAGGAAAAAAATGCAAGTAGATTAAATCAAATAAAGAAAATAATGTGAATTGCTCAAGATCTGCTTACTCCTAAATAAGGCAGGCCGTAACAATACACAAGCAACAAGAAAGCCCAATTTCAGAGGCCGGCGCCACGGCATAGCGGGCTAAGCCTCTCACTGTAGCATGGGGATCCAGGCATAGGGATCATGTCCTGGTTGCTCCACTTCCGGCCCAGCTCCCTGTTTAAGGCTGGGAAAGCGCTGGAGAACAGTTCAAGTTCTTGGACCCACTTGGGAGATCCAGAAGAAGCTCCTGGCTTTGGACAGGTTCAACTCCAGCTGTTGCATCCATTTGGGGAGTAAACCAGTGAAAAAGATCTCTTTCTCCTTCCTGTAAACTTGCCTTTCCAATAAAAACAAATAAAACTTTAAAAACTATATAAAAGGTGTCATTCTGATGTATCACAATTACAAAACCCACACACAGTTTTTTCACAGCACTGAACTTCCTCACGACCTTCCACACATCTCTCCTCCTTCCGTCATATCCAGCCTGTCCCTTCTGCTACACTTCTGTCCTCGTCAAGCATATATTCTTGTTCAGGGGAGGGGGAGGAATCTGCAGTCCTCAGTCCACAGCACTGACTTGTATCATTTGGACTCCCCTCCTCTATTCCCCAGTCACACTCCTAAGTACTTGGGTGCAGTAGTTTGTGTGGCAGGAATCGAATCCCAAGAATCTCACTTGAGAATACTACTAAATGAGACCAGGAGGGTGAGGCCAATCTAAGGTCCTTAACTGCTGCTGGAAGCACCTGCAGTTCAGCCCTTCAGACACATCTGGTGAGGAGAGCCTTAGGAAGAGAAAGCTGATGCAGGCAACGGAGCAGCTGTTCGGGAGGCATCCAGCTCACAGTGTCTGCTCTGAACCCAGCTAACTGCTTTGGATCCAGCGTCCTGCTGATGCCCTGGAAGGCAGTGATAGCTCGAGAACTTGACTTTGTGGCATCCATGTGGGAGACCACTATCAAGCTCCAGGATCTGTGCTCCAGACTGGTTCAGCACTAATGACGTGGTCATTTGGGCACTGCACCTGCAGATGGAAGATGTCTCCATCAGTCTTCCATTTCTCTCTGCCCTTCAAAGACAATGAAAATTAACGTGTAAACTTAAAGAGATTTCTAAAGAGAAAGCCAGGTTATCTTTCCACTTATTTGATTAAGGGTTGCACCAGCGCCATTAAGTTTCTAGCATTTCTGAGGTGTCAGGGATGGGTCTGGGATGCTACTACGGCACAAAGAGCTTAGGGATGCCCCTGCTTGAGAAGCTGTCACCAACTGTGGACGTGCTGTACTCCACAGCTGCAGGTGAACAGCACCTGTTACAAGCCTGAAAGCCTTCACAGTTGCAGCAGCGCAGAACCACTGCTGTAAAGATTCCATAAACGACACAATGAACCTGGTCCAGCAGCAGGTGCTAAGACACCAAGGACAAAGATTAACCTATCACAGCTCTTGGGAGTGCAAGTGACAGATAAGCTTTAAATAACAGCCAATTTCCCACAAACACATCTGTAATTTCTACCACAGCAGTGTAAAGGACTACTGGCCAAAACTGAACTTTGACTCAAAATTATAAATGGATGCTTGTTACTGTAAGAAAGGAGTTAGCAGACAAAGAATGGCTCAAGGACCAATGCTGTCTGTTTCCTTCATGACCCACTAGGCAGGAACTGGGTTTTGGTGGGGTGTGTGTGTGTGTGTGTGTGTATGGCTATTGCTTTGTTTCTGGTTTTTAATGGTTAGAAATAATGGGAAGAAAAACAGTAGGATTCTAATAATTTCTATATAAAATTCAAATTGGCATACAAAAATGTTGTGAGCTGTGGCCACACTCACCTGAGTACACCTGCATTGGTCACTGCTTTTCTACTACCACCAGAGCAGTGCATCCTTGTCATAACCTCAGGATCCACAAAGACCCAAATACCTCTTCGGATTTTCATAAAAGCATCACAACTCTAAGGGTCCCTGCTGAAAGCAATGTTATCTGGACTTACTCAGGTGATCATGCAATAAAATCTCAACTTTTCACCCACTACATTTCTTTTGTTTTTTTTTTTAAAGATTTATTTTATTTTTATTGGAAAGGCAGATATACAGAGAGGAGAGACAGACAGGAAGATCTTCCGTCCGATGATTCACTCCCCAAGTGAGTGCAACGGCCGATGCTATGCCGATCTGAAGCCAGGAGCCTCTTCCAGTTCTCCCACGCGGGTGCAGGGTCCCAAAGCTTTGGGCCATCCTCGACTGCTTTCCCGGGCCACAGGCAGGGAGCTGGAAGGGAAGCGGGGCTGCCGGGATAGAACCAGCGCCCATATGGGATCCTGGGCGGGACCTTAACCACTTGCGCCACCATGCCGGGCCCACCCACTACATTTCAAATGCTGATTCAAGAATACATGCCTGATTGACTTATTCTGTCCTCTATCGTTTCTTGGTTAGGGTTCTGAGTCCGGCAGTTCGACTGGGGAGTTCCCCAAAGAAACTTTGTCTGAGGTGTTCCCAGTCCAGATTCCCGTATGTACTAGCAACTACAGGGCCCAGCACAGTCCATCGCCCCATCAACTGGTGGTTGCAATTGCTGGGTTGGTTCTGTTTCCATCCCATCTTCCACTGGAACCAATGGGTGTTGCAGTCCAGCCTGGTTCTGCCCAGCACATACTCGGCCCTCACATAATCCAGTGGGAGAAGCAGCCTAGTCGGAGCGACCCACAATAACCCCCACCTGTCCCACGCCCCATAGCCTGGTGTGCCAGTATGTG